AGCAGTTCGATAACGAGTAATTCAACCAGTTTTGCGACGAGCTGGGTATCCATAAGAAATTTGCCTCAGTCACAAAACCCCAAGCAAATGATCAAGTTGAAGCTGTCAACAAAACCATCAAGCACACTCTGAAAGCCAAACTTGGCGCAGCCAAGGGAAATTGGGCCGACGACCTCCCTGAAGTCCTATAGGCATACAGAACAACTCCGAGAACCTCTACCTCAGAAACTCCCTTCTCACTAGCATATGGCTGCGAGGCAATGATCCCTATGGAGGTAGGAGCTGGTTCACTTCGGAGAGACCTGTTCAGCGAAGCAAACAATGAGGCGCTCATGCGCGCAAGTCTAGATCTAGTTGAAGAACATCGCAGTAAGGCTTAGCTAAGAATAGCAACCTATCAGCAGCATGCGAAAAGGTTCTTCGACTCTAAGGTTAGAAGAAGAGACTTCCAGGTCGGCGACCTCATCCTAAAAGAAGTCCTTCTCGATACGAGAGAACCAAGTGCGAGAGTATTGGGGCCGAATTAGGAAGGCCCATACCGCGTTGCCAAAGTGATAAGACCGGGGACTTATCACCTCAAAAGGCTAAACGATTCTGAAGCACCGTGAGCTTGGAATACTGAGCATCTCCGCCCATCTTATCAGTAAAATCTGAACTCATTTTTTCCTTGTAAAGATTTTACTTTTCTCAAGCTTTGTAAATAATATAAGTTCTTTTGTAATCGCTTTTCTCCGCATATACAATTCTGTTCGCATAGATATTGTTTGTACAAATGCTACTGTAAGCAGTTAGAATGCGACCTCATGTGTAACGTTTGTGGGGTACGAAAAATTATAAGTACTCACAAAAGATTTAGGAAGTGATGTCTTTATTTATTATAAATAAAAATAAAAAAGAAGTACAAAAAGCGAGCATGGGAAGGGCAGTACAAAAGCAAAGGCAATCATTGGCCTTCATCCCCAAGTCTCGGAGGTGCGACCTCATCGTTCCCAGTCTGGTCGCCGACCATCTGGCTGATCGCGGGCTCCTTTGGGACATATTCCGAATGCTCTTTTGGGTCAGGTCCTCAAGCGGCCTCTGTTGCCTCCTCATCCTCAATCCGCGCCAAGGAAGTAAGGATGTCTTGGTATTCCTCCGAGAGGTCGGTCAGATCGATTTCAGGATTCTTCGGCCATAGGGCATAAATGGACTGAATTGCCCATTCAGCAGCCTTCTTCTCAATCTCCAACTCTTGTCGCCGCATTTCTTCGGTCAGCAAAGTGACGCGACCCTGACTAAGTTGGAGTTCGGCCTCAAGCGCCCACCTTTGCTTCTCGGTGGTCTCCCATAGTTCCGTCCTTTCCCGCTCTACTTGCAAGGCTCGCTCGGAGTTCATTTGTAGCTCATTTTCTTTCTCGCCAGCCTCCCTAGTGAGTCTGGCCACTGTCTTTTAGAGCTCTTTTATTTCCTCTCCTCGCTTCTCCAGCTTGGCCTTCTGATAATCCACCTTGTGAAGAGCATCATTCCTTTCATTTAGGTACTAGTTCGCTGAAACGGTGGATAAGTCTTTCTCTGCTTCAGCGGTTTCTAAGTCCCGTTTAAGCCACGCGTTCTCTTCTCTCAGCGCGACTAGCCTCTCAGCAGCTCCCAACTGGACCTTCTACAGGGACAAGTGCATGGAGAGCAGGGCCTGTGAACGAAAAGAGTAACAAGTCAGTTTCCTTGCTACTGAAAAGAATAATGTAAGGTCCTCGCCGAGGACAGCTCACTCTACCTGGCTCAAGTGCTGAAGGGATATGGACATCAGGTCCACAGGGTTGGAAGCCACGAACTTCTCAAACGCCTCCACGAGCCCGCACTCCAGCAAGGTAAAAACCACCGGGTGCAGATGATCCGGAAGTTGCCCCATCGAGTCCAGCATAGGTGTGTTCGTGCCTATACCTACAGCAAGAAGCATATCGCTAGCTGGTTCCTTGCCCGATCTCCTCCCATGATCCGCGACCTCACTATGCCTTGTTCGAGGCTCTTTCGGAGCAATGGAGATGTCAGACGCACCCCTAGAAGGCCCTCCCGAGCGGAACACTTCGTAAGGCTACGACCTCTCAGGCTGAACGCACAGGCCCTCCAGTTCGGACTCTGACTCTTCGGTCCGAAGTTACTTTCACTTCTTGGACATTTGGGTCATGGTCTTATGCTTCGGGCAAACAGCTGAAGGCTAGGGAATGCTTACAGGTCGAGCCGGAGCACCCGTCGGTGTTCCTCTGACGAGGGGACCGCTGGGAGCCACTCCAGCTGGTCCAGTGACGTTTACTCGGGGGAAGGTGAACTGCCTTGGTCGTGGCGACTTGGGCACTTTGGGAGGCATGGTCGTTGCATGCAAACATCGTTAGTGAAACAGTTCGCTGCATGCAAAGTTAAAAAAGAACAAGCTAAGGTTATGATACTTACTCGGTATGGTCTCTAAGGTCGCCTTGGGATTGAAGAAACCGTATTTCTGCAAATTCGCGGTTGTCACGAGCAATCTTGCGTCGTGACTTTCTTCGGGCAAAAAGCCGAAAGCAGTAATTCTGTCAGAATCCTCGAGAGCCGATAACCTGGTCGTCTTGTTAACTGCGAAGAAGAAAAAAGCTCATTAGTGAAGACTAAAAAGAAATTCACGAACTCAAAGGAAGAAAAACCTACTCGGCTCCTGAAATTGGCAAATGTCATCATATCGAAAGAAGAAAAACTTCATCTCGTATGCCACAACATTGTTGGGATAGCTATGTATTCCCACTTCGATTGTAGGTCGCTTCGAGAGATAGAATGAATCCTTGTCCTTACTCTTCTTTAGGATGTACGAGCAACCGAGCTCTAACGCATTGGGCGTAAGCTATAGCGGTACGATCCCGAAGCGATTCAGGACCGACCTAACGAAGGGGTGGAAAGGGATCAACCCCCTGCTCTTAAAGATATTCTCGGAGATCTCAGCCATTCCTTCTAACGTACTCCGAGCTGTGTACGTTCTATGCTAGAAGACCTCTACGCTGAGGGCGTATTGGTCTACCACCTTTTAAATCTCCTCGGCAATGATTGTCGATAGGATTTCCTGAGAGGGACCTGCTGGGGCATCCTACACCGGCGAGCTGGTTCCCTCATTTGTCCTGGTCGTTGAAGGATCTATTCCTCTATGGTCTGAAAAAATGACATGTAGGAATCACTCAGTCGTCCTACACTGTTTCGTACGATGACGTGGAGGAAAAAATAATTGTTTCTCCCTTAAACCCTAGAAAAACCCCTAAAAGACTCCTTGAACCACCCCCAATGGCTCAAATCCTAGGAGAAAACTTATTCTCCAGCCAACCACCAGTAAACGATCATCGTTATCGCATGGCTATCGTCAAAAAATCAGAAAAAGGAAAATGATAGGAGAATCATCCTTACCTCTTGAATATGAAGATTGATCCTCTTGCTCTAAGTGTCAAGCGCGCACTAGTCTGAAAGACGAAAAATCAAGGCTCACCAAAGTTTCTTGCTCTCTCTGAAGATGTGAGTATTGTGACATTACCAGAGGCGAGTCTGAGGTTTTATAGTGAAGAAAATGGCGTTTGGCTTTCCCGAAGTCAAACGACGTTTGGGCGGAAATCTCTTCTCACCATTGATTGCGACCACGTGTCGCTAATTGGCGGAGAAGAGTGACCATCACGCTTCGAGAAACCAAATCGTCGTCCTTTTCTATTGCAACACTCAAGCGACGGCTCGTTTCCCTCCTCCACATTAAATGCGCTCACATCCGCATTTAATGCTCTGATAGGGAATGTCGTTTCAGCATGGCTCGCATTTAATGTGCATGGTTGGCACTTATTGCGCACAGGACATGTTTGTCAGAGCAAAAGGTGTTTCATTTAATGTATCAGCTGCAAAAGTGCAACGGATAACATCTGAAGAGGTCGTTACATTAACCACTCTTCGTCGCGTCAGTCGCGAAGCGACGTGACTCTTTGCCCTCGTCGCATGTCAATTGCAAAGCGACGTGACTTTGCTTTCAACAAAAGATTCGCCAAGTGTAATCAGGTCGAGAACCACGGTCGAAGACCAGTCATCGTTATGGCACTGAATAAGACCTAGGTCAGGTCGCAGACCTTGAGAAAGAACATTTCAGGTCGTCCGCATGGGAATGTTTCTGCTGCTTCTTTGCAACCAGGTCGGATCGACTAGTGTCCATTCGACGCATCAAATCAAGGCATAATTGTGTAGTTTTCAAGGTTCGATCCTCAAACCTTAAAAACTAGGGGACTTCTGTTATGCCTAAAAAAGTAGGGCTGACGCCAAGCTTTGTCAGTGTGAGCGGTCAAAACTCGGGCAGGTTCTGCAACGGTTCAAACGCAGCCACGTCGCATGCTGACGTGAGCGGTCTACTCTTACCAGTGTAGTGGGTATACGCCAGGCTGGCGAAAGGTTGGAAACATTCCACTTGTCCAATCTCTACGCAAGTCGAGGAAATCTCTCGAGTAGGTGAATAACGAGACACAAAGAAGGATTTGCATGGCAGCTTGACCCACTTGCAAATTTAGTAATCATTACCTCAATTCATCCCACTATAAATAGAAGGTTCTTCTCCCGTTTGTGGGATTAGCTAATTTTTCTATAAAACAACATACATTCTCTCTGTCTCTAGTGTATTCACTTGTATTCTCTAGACTATAAATCAGCTCGTTGAATGTGACCTGATCTCATATATTAATACAATACCATTGGATGTAAGATTCGCTTGTTTAAGCATCCGAACCACTTTAAACATTGTTCTTTTTTTCTTAATCAGTTCAATCCCCCCATATACATGTGTGTCTTCTGAGTTAGTTTAGCATTTCACACGTGTGATTAGTTGGTGTCAAAATTAGGCATCAACAATTTCGTTTTCAAATTTCAAACAAAACATTTTCAAAATTTTGAAAACACAAATACATTTTTTTCACTTACCCAAAAAAAAAAGAAAACCTAAACTAAAATTTCCCTCTTTCAACGCTCTCCCAAGTCCAACACTCTCCCGTTACGCAGAACACAGTAAAACACTGAGGCTCAAACTCATCTCACCATTGAAGAGACCAAGATACTCCAGGCTCTCAAGGTTCTCTCTTCATTCTCTCTTAGTTTATCTGTCCAAAGTTTTCTCCTTAAATTTAATTTAATGTATCAATAAATTTATCAATCAATTCAATTATGTTGCAATGCTCTTACATAACATTGATATCGTTAGGGTTTATCTGAGTTTCCTTGTTTAATCCATAAATGGAGGCAATTGATGAAAACACTAATAACAGTATCAAAGTTTCTGCTCGGAATCAAGTAATAATCCCAACTTCATCCTCCACTACCACCTCCCCATCGCGTAACCCTAGAACCCGGTTTTCTACATACTATGACGTGCCGGATATTTCCCCGACTGCTCGAATAATTTGTAAAACCCTAGTTCACGCCTCGCCAGACGACATTGAATCCGCGCTCTCCGGCATGGAAATTGTCGCCACTCATGAGCTTGTCAATGAAGTTTTGAAGCTCTCCTACAATTCACCTTCCTCTGCTGTTAATTTTTTTAGGTGGGCAGGACGAGGCCAGAAGCTTTTGCCATTTGCGTGGAATCTGATGGTTGATATTCTGGGGAAGAATGAGATGTTTGAACAAATGTGGGATGCAATTCGATCGATGAAGCAAGAAGGTATTTTGTCATTGGCAACATTTGCTTCGGTTTTTGATAGCTATTGTGGAGCTTGTAGATACAATGAAGCTTTTATGAGTTTTGATGTTATGAGCATGTATGGTGTTGAACAAGATGTTGTCGCAGTCAATTCCATTTTAAGTGTGTTTTGCCGAGAAGGCAAACAGATGATGAAAGCATTGGAATTTCTTGGTAAAGTTAAAGACAGTGTTCCTCTTGATGTGGATTCTTTTGCAATTTTGTTGGAAGGATGGGATAAAGAAGGCAATGTGGTGGAGGCCAAGAAGACTTTTGGTGATATGGTGGCACAATTTGGGTGGAGTCTGCAGCACATTTCTTCATATGAAACTTTCTTGACTATGCTTGTTCGTGGGGGGCAGACGGTTGAGGCCCTGAAGTTTCTTCGGGTTATGATAGAGAAAAATTGCTTGCCAGGTTTTAAATTTTTCTCTAATGCTCTTGAAATTCTTGTTAAGCAAAATGATTCTGCCAATGCTGTCATGCTATGGGATATAATGGTAGGCATTGACTTGATGCCCAATTTGATTATGTATAATGCATTGATTGGATTACTCTGCAACAACAATGACATAGATAAGGCTTTTCAATTTCTTGATGAGATGGTGTTTCATGGAGCCTTTCCAGATTCTTTGACGTATAACATGATTTTTAAATGTTTGATAAAAAACAAGAGAGTTCATGAGGTGGGAAATTTTTTCTGTGAAATGATCAAGAATGAGTGGCCACCAACACATTTAAATTGTGCTGCAGCCATCTCCATGTTGTTTGACTGTGATGAACCTGAAACAGCAATAGAGATATGGAACTATATGGTAGATAATGGTATCTTGCCTCTTGAAGAGAGTGCCAATGCCTTGCTTATTGGGCTTCGTAATTTGCGTAGGTTGTCTGAGGTTAGGAGATTTGCAGAAGATATGCTTGATAGAAGAATTGTTGTATATGAAGTTACGATGCAGAAGTTGAAGAATGCTTTCTATAAGGAGAATAGAAGTATGAGGGATAAGTATGATAGCCTTGCAAGGAAATGGAAAACAGTTCGTATATGATCGGTGTAAGTATCTTGTTGTGTAGTCTTAACTTTTTTACTCATGGTACTCTTGAGAAGAATATATTGTAGATTTCTGGCAGTTAGTAAATGAAGATACTTTCAAGTACAACAAGGTTTTTTTGCTTCCATTGCCCTATTTTATTCCATCAGTAATATGGGTTGCCTTTTAGCTACTCAAATCTAGAAGCCCAGCTTCTGCTCTCTCTCTCTCTCTCTCTCTCTCTCTCTCTCTCTCTGTGTCCAAGCTTTTGATGCTGTAGGGAATTGTGGTATTTCCCTTTTATTTTTTATCTTTATTGTCTTGTTGTATTCTTAATTGCTATAGCCAAAATCTTTGCAACTAGTTTTATGTGTTCATCAGTTCAGAACTGAGGCTTTTTTTTTAATTATTTAGAAGAGGAGTCATTCGTTGCGTTATACTTACCTGAGGTTTGGGGAAGTGTTTTAAAACCCAACAGTTTCCAAAATATACTGATACATCCCTGATGATTAGCAATGAGAGTTATCTAGACAGTGTGACCACTGTGACACTGTGGCCTACACCACTAGCACAAACGAAGGGTGGAGCTTAAAAAGGATTGGGTTTACAGCATAAAGCTTAAAGAAGACTGGGGTTTTGGTAATGATGTCCTGGTGCATGGAGTTGGCGCACTTGGCTTCCATTGGGTTCTATTTTGTTCGCCATGCACACTAGTACCAAGAAGCAGCACTTGAAGCTTCTGTTTCAGGGGTTTTTATTGTTTATGAAAGTTAACTCTGAATAAAAACGAGTGAAATGCCCATGATCATTTAATTTCTACCGTCAATTGAAGAACTTGGGGTAGGTATCAATACATGTTGGAAACCTCTCTGTTATACTGCAGTTCCCAAAACCTTACGGGAGTGTGCTGCAGTTTGGAAAATTTAAGCTGCTTTGGTTCTATAAACTACAAGCATGAAAAAATTGAATAAAAAACTTGGGAATATACAGTTAAAATTAAAGCAACCTGAAAGGCTGAAACACAAATTTGGATGCACCATGTCAGGCAAGTCCTGAAGCTCATCACCTCTGATTGAAGATCTCTGCCTCCAGAATTCTTTTGAACTCGCTCTATCTCAAGGTAAGACCTGAACTTTTATGTAGTTTTAAGGTTCTTGAGGGTCTATGATCTTTAATTTTTGAAAATAATAAAAAAAAAAGGCATTTTCTTCCTTTTAGTTTTTGGCTAACTGTTATTGAAAAATATTGGTGAATGAATGGTGCCTTTCTTGGGATTCTTGATTTTTATTGATTATATGAACTTGTTTGTTGTTTATGTGTATTATTTATCGTGAAAAGATACCTATGCGCAGCCACTAGTGGGTTTCTTATATAGTTTGGTTTGCTTGAGTTGGTGCCAATTAAGATGTTGTGTGCATTTGTACAACTTACGTAAACTTTTGAGATGGTCCTTTTATGTATCTATGATAACCATAAACTCATTGTATTTATGCTCCAGTTTTCGGGATTGGAAAACTCATTGATACATTGTTTGGGTAGTTTCAAGTTAAGAAAAATAAATTTTCTATTCATCATCTGTACAATAATTACCCTTCTCTGTTATGTTGACTATAATTTGTTGCCGGGACTTCTCTGAGGTAAACAATGGGACTCAGACAAAAACCTTAGGGACGAAAATGTGAGTAACCCACTGTGTTTTGGGTGTTAAAAAAAAGAGAGAGAGAGAGATTATCCTTGTAGTCTTTCTCTTTTCGATGCACTTTTGGTGTTTATTTTCTGTTCTTCTAGTGGCTTGGATTTGGAGATGAGCTATTTTTTGTACAATTCAATGATGTTAACTAACTGAATATAGCAAGGTAGGAGAGGTTAATCGAGTGGATTATAAACTTCGTCTGTCATTTAGGTTAAATTAAAAGTATGAAAAAGTTAAAATAATTATTTGGGTAACTGACACTTCCTTAAGGTTTAAGAATAATGCCGTTTCTTGAAAATAAAAAATGTTAACCCGATCCATATTTAATATAATAACTTGCCTAAACTAAAGTATTATATTTCCATTTCTTTTAGGAGCTTGCTCTAGTATCTTCATTTGGGCTCAAGGAAAATGATTGTACTTGAATCTCTCAAGCAAAGCAAGCGTTGATCTTAATCAATTCATGAAATAGTGGAAGTGAGTTTGTATATTTGATGAAAGAAGAAAGGCAAAGATATGGTAATTAGCAATGCAAGTTTGGTATTTTTTCCATAAGCAAAAGTGACCATAGATTCCTTAACAGGGAGGCTTACAAATAGCACCATACAAAAGCTTTAATATCAGGAAAGGAAGATACCAAAACCTTCCCCACCAATGACACCCAAGTACCCAACCTAACATTCTTTTCCTTCCCCATCTCTCGCCATCCCCCCATTAATAAAACTTAACCCATTTTCAAAACCTCTCTCTTTTCTTCTTCATGTTGTCACTCTTTCAGCTACACCCCCACCTCCAGCTCCAGCTCTTCACCTCCAATGAAATCAACGTACTTAGAACCTCATATGCGGCGCCGCAAGACCCATCCCTTGATTTGGTTTGCAGCCATCATCTGCACCATCATCGCCATTGCTGTCATCGTTGTAGGCATTGTCGTCTTCATTGGCTACCTAGTTCTCCACCCTCGAGTCCCCGTTATGAGCGTCATGGACGCTCATCTCGACCTCTTTCAGTATGACCTCGCCGGCCTTCTCGAAACGCAAATAACCATCATCCTCAACATGAAGAATGGTAACCAAAGGGCTCACGCTAGTTTCTCCGATACCAGCCTCATTCTCTCATTTGATGGACTCGAAATTGCCAAACTCGTCGCTCTCCCTTTCGATGTAAGTAAAAACATTTCTCTTAATTTTCATTACGTCGTTCAGTCAAATCCAATACCATTAGATCCAAACCTGCAAGAGCTCGTGGACGTTTCTTTGAAGAAGGATGATGTTAAGTTTGGTTTGAAGGGAAGTTCAAGAGCTAGATGGAGAGTAGGGCCTCTTGGCTCTGTAAAATTCTGGTGTCATTTGGATTGTCAACTTCGGTTTCATATTTTGAATGGCTCTTACGTGCCTTCTTCATGATGCAGCTCCAAGGCAAAATAATTTTATTATTATTGTTGTTGTTTCTTTATTTGAACGTTATGTACACAACACTGCTGATGATTATTTGCTATGTGTACTTAATATCTAGAGGATCAGGTTCTTCACAATTCTTCTCTCTTAAGTTTAGGCTTCTTTTTCTCTTTCAATCAAATGATATAATAAAACGTACTTTCTTGAAGAAGCTATATTGGTCTTTAATTACGCCCAAAGTTGTAATTGTCATTTTATGCACAAGTGGTGACTGCAATAGTTTAGGGATATTATTTTCAATTCTAATGAGTAAAATGCTGCTGCCACAAGGCAGAAATAGAATAGCTGAACAAAAAAGATACCAAGTAATTAAAGAGATCATCTCTTTTTTCCTTTGTTGGGCTATTTTATGCCAACTCTTTTCCTTTCGTTTCTGCAATATCTTTTCACTGCAATGGCTAACTAATACTAGCTCCAAGAGAATTTCAACGAACTTGGATGATCCTAATTAATTTTGAAATAAAATAAAAATTATTGAAAAGGTTTTTAGACCAATATGACCCGGCCCATTTTGAACCCAAAGGAACCCGAATTATTGGGCTTTAAGCCCAATGTCTATTTTCCACTTCTGGGTTAGTTATTGGGCTTATTTCTATTTTGTAAGGAAGTGATTTTGGCCCTCTATCAAATTGATAAAATCACCCATTTCTACATACACCTTTATCAAAATTCAAATCACACTCTATTTATTTTAAAAACATTTCTTTAAGCCTTTTAATATCATTAGGTTACTTAAAGTTTTATTTGCCCTTATTTTTTCTAATTTCAAACTTAGTTTTTGTGTTTTGATTGTTATAAGCAACCACTTTTGGGTTCTTTCATGTTATATCAATCAACGTACCTTTCCTACCTACAAAATTTTAGGTTGCAACAAAAAAAAAAACTATGAATACTCATTCTAAACTTTAATTTTCCTATAAAAACTTGTTTTTTATCACATTCATAATTGACCTCCACCGAGTTCGTCTTAACAATACGGCAAAACGTGGATTGTCAAAACAATGAAATCAAAATGTTTTTGACAGTCAACTTGCGATAATCAGTGGAGGAAATGGATGCTAGGTAATGTTAAAAGCAGTCTAAGGAATTCGTTTTCTACTAATTGATTAGCCATATATTTTGTCGATATATGTACTAGTACTACAAATTGAAGAGAATGTTATATTAATTTAATATTAAATATTAGTCATGAGTAATTAGTCAAATTATCAGAGCCAGCAAACAGTAATTCAGGCAGACTGAAATATAGTTATAACTGCTAACAAACTGAGGTGGACGAGACCTTCAATTTTCATGCAAATGCGATACTCGCTTCTATAACAAACTAAATACTAACTGCAGTTCTTCATTTCATTTCCCCATAATAAATTTAAAACCTCTTTCTCACACGGTCATTTGAAAAAATATCAGTAACAAACTCAATTTTCTTGAATTTTCTAAAATGGTGACACCCGATACCTCCCTATATCGTTGGCATCATCGGTACGTGTAATGCCTTTTCTTTTTGTGTTATTTTAACTTCGTTTTTTTTCCCATTTCAGAAACAATCTATGTGGTTGTGAGATTTTGTTTTGTTTTCATGATTTCGTCTTTTCGATTGAGTTCGGTGCATTGGAATGAGAATTGTGGCAAATTACTGATTTTTATTATGATTTCTTACTATGACTATGAAAAACACGTTTCGGTTTTACAGTAATTTGATATAGTTTTGTTTTTGTTATGCAGGGAATGTGATCTCTTTCGGCCTCTTCCTCTCCCCGGTGTAACAATTTCTCTCTCTATGCTCAGAACTTTTTTTCTGTTTCCAAGTTTATAAGAACTCTGCTCTCGTAATCACTAAATCAGAAAACTCGCTTTAATAATATAGCTCTGATACTTAGTGAATTTACTAATTATAGTTTAGTTCCTAATCATGTGTTACAGTTCTTGACTGAGGTAGATTTTGAAAATTAGGCCATTAAGAACTGATTTATTACGACTTTAAAAGAAATAAAAGCGTTTATTTTGTAATTAAGTTTACTCTTGGGTCAATTGAAAATTTGAAATAAGCTTTCGGATTATTGAATTGATAATGATTATCTCTGCTTGTAAAGAATGGACTGTGTGTTGTTTTGCAAAAATGTTACTGAAAATAGTAAAAATATCATTCTGCGTTTTTTATTACTGATTTTATGTTCAACCCAAGCTCGTAGCAAATGCTAAATGTTTGTGAAATGGATTATTGAGTATCAATTTTTTAATTAACTTCAACAGATTGATTTTTAATCTTATGGTTTAATTATATATTGTGGCTGCAGAACTATGGCTATAATCAAGAGAAATCGGTGGAGGAGTTCCAGCCGATGCTTATATTGCAACATGTTTTAATTGTGTTTTGGTCCTTATGGTCTGCCATTTGTTCATCCGGACAGCATACTGGTCATCCCCATCAACTCTGTTGGCTTGCAATGGAGTTGATATATTATCGCATATTCTGCCTCATTGATCGTCGAGCAAGGGTGAGTTGCCTTTGCCTAGTAGTTTGTGCACTTCATTGACAGTTGTCTATAGCCCTCACATGTTGATTAAAGAATAGAACATCGTGAATGTCTTCAGATTCGTTTGGAGATTACTTGTCTCTCATGGTGATGTTCAATTCACAGGTTGTCCATCTAGACCAGGTAACCAGAGTATTTGACGATTTTGCAACCTGGAATGCATATGCTGATTTTGCTATTTATCTTTTCTCTTTTCCGAGAGATTGCATTGGTCTTATAGGTGGTTCGTTGGTAGCCGTTGTACCATTAATATGCTGCTTTTCACACCCATACCAGCCGATCATTTTTGGTTGGATTTATGTGTGCCTTCAACATATATGTATGGTCACCTCTCACCATGTTGGTATGCATCTCCTGAATCCAATTCCATAAGCTTTTTATTATAAACTCAACTACACTTGTAATTCATTCATTTCTTGATCTTTCCTTGTCTCGCCTTGATTTTAACAACAGGAAAAGTTATAAAGACGAAGATGTGGAGTACATGCCGTTCTACTCCTCACTAGCAGGCTTTGTTAATGGTTGTTGGTCTGTTATGCTCTCATCAGTTGGCTATTTTATTCTGGTAACACTTTAAATCCCAGTAGCCAATTAATTACATAATAGTAGTTTAACAAATAATTAATAACCAAATAAGTAGCGAGGAGGATCTAATCAAATAATTGGTTACATGGCAGATAAGCAATGGTCTTGGACAATTTAGGTCTTGCACAACTCATAATATGCATTTTATACAGATCAAACACCAACAAAGTTCGAGCGAAAGCCAACTGAGGCAGCTATCTACTGAGATTGCAGCCTAAAACGATCGATCAAGATTCAAGCCATTGTCGTTTTAGAAGTGCAATCATAATTGTTTTTTTTTTTTTTTTTCTTTTATCAAAATAATGTTTGTTGCGTAGTTTTATGTTTTGCCAACAGTTAACACAAATTTAAGATGGTCAGGATTTAGTACAGAGAGTTTAGTTGATGCATGCCTGAGATACAACATTTTTTCAAGCAGGATATGCCTTCTTTTATATTCAAAACCGTATGGATGAAATTATGATTTGATGCTATAAAGCGCAAGTTATGCAAATCTGATGAGATTCAATTCAACTATGTCTACTTTCAACAGCGAGGAACTAGTGTAGTTAACTTGATGAAATTGGTCTAATTAAAACTTATTTAGGCCCATGATCAGGCCCCAACGTTTAAAGCTTATGATTCAGGCTCAACGTATATACAAAGCTTATGACTTAGGCCCAAAAATTACACAAGCTGATGATTCAGGCCCAAACATTACACAAGGCTGATGCGCTGATCATTCAGGTCAAAAGTTATACAAAACTTTTGTATGATTGAGTCCCAAAAATTATTCAATCAAAAGCCAAGCTGATAAGTGAGGCCCAAAAATTGTACAAGGCTGATGAGCCTGATGATTCTGGCCCTATGATTCAGGCTCAAAAATTGTACAAACTTATGATGGAGGCCCAAACATTACACAAGCTGATGGTTCAGGCCAAAAAATTATTCAAGGCTGATGAGCCTGATGATTCAGGCTCAAAAGTTATACAAACTTATGATTGAGGCCCAAACATTACGCAAGCCTATGACTCAGGCTCAAAAAAAAAAAAAAAAAATGTCAAAAGCCAATCTGTCAAAGCCAGGTTTCGCTCATGGACTAGGGTTTTGAGCCCACCCGGCTTTGATAATAATTTGCAGAAATTTTTTATAATCCATCTCATTGCCTAATATAGACACGACCGCCCTAGATTTTTCAGAAAATACCCCCCCGCCACTAAGTATGCATATATTTACCTAATAAATAAACTTACAACTAAATTTTACAAACTCTCTCTCACAACCTCAATGTGATAACTTATAATTAGTTTGGTGGAAAAATTCATCAGAAATCAATTATAAACTGTTAGTCAAGATTGTAAGAGAAAATTGTTGTTTGAGTTATAAATGTAGTATTGTCCTATATACCAAACACCATGCTTTTCAAAAATTGTTCAAATCTTAAATACTAACTATGTCACATTTCTTAATATAAGTGTAAAAAATTACCGAGGGTCGTTTGATATAGTTCAAATAGTGTTTTACTTTTTAAATAAGGGATACAAAAATCTTGTGAAAAATGTATGGTAAAAATGAGTAAAATTGTTTGGAAAAAAAGTTTTTGTTACAATCTTAGAACTAGTGTATAATTGGAAAATGATTAAAAAGTTGTTTCATATTTTTTAATTTGAAAACAGTTTTTAAATAAGTGGGAAGAATGAAATGTTTATCTCTAAAAATAATTAGAAAAAAATGGGAGGCTTGAAAGAGGAGCTCTTTCCCTATTAAAAATTAAACGAAGAAAGTAGCGAGAAGTCTGATCCAGTGAGAGTAGCATCGACCGCACCATTATTTTTGCGGTATAAGCTGGTGTTTGGAATGCTTCCGAGCAATTCTTGCCTGGAGCCAGATTTCCTTACATTGTCACTGTATTTTGTGTGTTGTAATTAGAGATTATCATAGATTCATAGTACTAATTATAATTTTAAAATATATTAAGCATAAACTTTTTTATGTTGTTTAAAAAAGATAGACATACCCTATATTAATAATAAAATAACATAATAATAGGGGGTTCTAAAAAATTTTACTCGATCATGATATTTTTCCTCTTACCAAATGACAATTCTGTCTCTCAATACTGCTTGAAAAAAAAAAAAACAAGAAAAGCACTAAAATCAGCGGGTGTATTATAAATAGCTCAGCAGATATTGTGTGTTCGCAAATATAGTTTTGTTCCTAGGCTTCAAGCCCAAAACGCCTCTACTAAATTGATGAGACCATTAACATATTAACGTATGGGAGGAAAAATAAAGGCGTGAAAGGAGAATGACGGACGATCTTGTAGGCATTATGCATGATTGTGAGTGTGGTACCAGTTTTATGAGAGAGGTGAAAAAGTGATGATTAGGGAAGGTTGAATTCTGTTATGGTGAGAAAGCAGAATAAAAGAGAATTGTCAGAGGACGAGGGATTCCTTCAGAAAGGAATAAGGAAAGGGTGGGCCCGAGAGTCCGTTGGTTTTATTCTATCTCAGTGTAGTTATGGTTTATTTTCTTCTTTTTGATCTGTAGTTGAAGATGGATTGACGGTTGTGGTTTGGTTATCACATATATAATCGATGTTATTCAATATTTGCTATTGTTCTGTGATTGTTTCTGTGTGACTTGAAGTTCGTGTGGTTGTAGAAGTGTTTGGGATGTTGTTATTGTGATGACAATTGCTGGTTAAGATTGGGTATCTAACATGAATATAGACTTACTAGTCCTATTTAAACACCTCTGTTATCAGCAATGTGGACTTTATATTACAATACACAACACATTGCAAGTGTTGATATCGTATATAAAGTATCCAACTTCCTCCGCGATCGTGCTGAAAACGGTTTAGAACATTGAAAGGAGGAAAAACTTATTTGCATGGCATTGCTTCTTGGGAGTGTATATTTATAATGAAGGGATAGGTAATTGCTATGGCAATTTTATATTTCCTATTTTGAAATTGTTAGTTATGTTGCAATATTTAATTATGCATTTGGATTTTCTAAAGTTATTTGGGCCCATTAGTAACGTTTATCAATTTTTCTTTTCTTTTTCTGAAAATTGCTTTTTTATTTTATTTTCAAGATTTGGCATGCAAGGATAGCATGTCTGAAAATAATAGTGAACAATATCACAAAATCCCCACAATTACAAAAGCATTTATATTACCTAAAATCATGTCCTAAGTAGAAGTACTGCTCACTTCATTTTGGTGAAGGCATGGATCTGATTTTATCCATCTAATGTATAACAAATGGCGTAATAAGTACTGAAGACGGGACAGGAAACTCAATAGAGCTTCACTTTGTTGATATCATTAAATGTCTTGAGCTCTTGCACTGCTATACGGCTATACCATCTCACAATGCCCCCTTGTCAAACTGTTGGCCAATTACTATGTTTGAAGCATGGAGGACGAGGGACGGAGCTACGAATGAAGCTTAGAGGAGATCAAAGATTAAAGTCAATTAATATAAATAAAAATAAAAAATACACATAATATTGTATTAATAAAATCCATTAACTAATATATATAATTGTTCTTGACGAAATTTCATCTTTTGAAAATATTGTAATCTAATCATATCACACCTATATATCAACTCATCTACTCATCTCTATTTCGCAAACAATTTTTCACA